CAATTTGTTTTTTGTTATGAGTATGCATGTATGCCTCTCGGCCTACCGCATTGGTTGAGATTATCTTTTCTTTCTTGCAAAATAACCGAACATGATTATGTATCACATTGGTTGAGATTTTCTTTTCTTTCCTTTCATTTTATGTAAAAGAACTGAACGTGATTACGTACGTTGCATGCGTGTGAGCCAATCTTGCATGCGAGTAGCCGAGCACTGAGCCGCTGAGCAGCAGCGGAGTAGACTAGCGGGCAAGTACATTTATGTCATCGTCTCCAACTGCAGTTAGTAAAATAATGTAGCATTTGCAGTGATTTATCATGTCACCGTCGAATAGACTTTTTAGTGTCCTTTGAAATAGTGATTGAAGTCTGAAATCGAATAGGTTTTTTAGTCATGGAATCTAGGCTCTCTAGTGTCCTACGATGTAGGCTTTTCAGTGATTCTGAGTAGACTTTCTAGAAGCATTTATAGCACAATATAATGGCTAGCAAACCTGCCTTCGCCTATATATATGCATTAAGGATGCATTGCTAACCAAAAGATAAACCAAACTAGTATTCGGTTTTGTTGGAGTAGGAATATCTGGAGGGTCATCTAGAGGAAAGAGTTTCAGGAGTAGAAGAGGAAAGGGGGGACAAAGAGAACTCCTATTGTGTGGGAGGGGTCTCTTGGGTCTGATTTCTCTGAGGAATCAGTGTATCAGTTTTCCCCCGAGAGTAAGAGTGATTTCACTAAAGAGTGCCCTCTCAGAGAATACAATAACAGAAAGAAAGATTGGCCAAAATGGATGCATGGTGAGACTGCTTAGTGTAGATGTTCACCGAGGAGATCGACAGAGGTCGTCGCTTCTTCAAATGCCCGCGAGCAAGGGTAATTGCTATTACATTTCGTTTTGTTAAATATGTTTCTCGAATACCCTTACAACTCACAGGACATACTTATTGTAGTATTTCGAGTCCGAAGAAAACTGTAGGTTCACTGGGTGGGTCGATCCTCGACCAATTTATCCGTATCAGCAGTACATCTACTACCTGCAGGACCAAATCTTCGATCTACAAAGGAAAGTTAGCAGCGGATATAAGGAAGACAAAGACGACGACAACAACAATGGTGCAAGTTCACAGGAGACACTCTGCAATGACCATATTGCACCTGCCCTAATCACAAGAACAAGGAGCCTCTGTCGTCACCCCCGCCACCACCACCACCAACAACGAGAGGCTACTGTGGAGAAGGTGCAACACAATTTGCTATGTGGTCATACTACCAGGACGATCCTATCTTATTCACATGGCACATCCATGTGTTTGTTGTTTGGTTTAATTACCTAAGGCATGTTAAGTTTAGTCGAAGGAAATGTACCCTTGTTTGGTACATGTTCTCACATGCTATTTCGTGTGTTTGTTGTTCGCTTCAATTACCTAAGGCATGTTAGGTTTAGTTCAGGACCTCTGTACCCTAGTTCAGTACATGTTCTCACATGCCATTTCATTTGTTTTGTGTGTTGAATTATATAATGCCCTACTTCGTTAGGTTTTGTTTGCAGCACGTGATCACATTTCACTACGTCCGCAATATTAAACTGAATATCATGATCATAAATAATAAAAACAACTACATAATGAAAAGTCTAATACTATGACATATTAAACAATACAATAATATTAGAAGTACGTGCCGACAAAATAAATAACGCAGTACATGACCTAAGCATGCCCATACTTAAAGTGTATTACATGACAACAAAATAAAAAGTCCAATAGTAGACAACATTGTTCATGAATAAACCATAGAATTAGCAAGTAATGGAGACTACTGAGTGCAAAAAGGCCACTTTTCCTTTCTCAGGGCATCGAGATTCTCCTCCATCGCTGCTTTCGCTCGACGTGCACGCTCAATCTTCTTCTCCCTCTCCTCCCTGTACGCAGCAACACGCCTCCTTTCCTCCTCTTCCTTGTGCTCCTTTTCTGCAGCTTCCTCTTCACGTCTCTTCTCCATCATCTCATTGTCCTCTGCCTCCCACCGTAACAGTTCTGTATCCATTCCTTGTCTTCAGGCTCGATCTCAGTGTCGATCCACTGCTCAAAATCACAGAGCGGTAGAAGAATCTACAACAAATGCAATTGTTACAAAACAAAAAAATCATACAAGATGTCGTATGACACAAAATAATTATTACACAATATCAATTCCTCACCATCTTGTTAATGTGGCACTGACGAAGTGTAGGCTCAAACACAAAATTGGAACACATCCAATACCTCTGCCTATATGTGTCCTCTCCATCGGACTTGACTACCTTGCAAAGATCGCCGCAAAAGCACATAAACATTGGAACACCACTAGGCTAAGGCAATGGATCGAAGGCATTTTCGGTCATCCGACCATAACTACAATTTAGCCATTTTCGTTTTAAGAACCGAAAGCAATTAACATTAAATCCTACACCTAGGGTTTCCCATTTAATTTACAACCATGAACCCATAACATAACAACGTGCGCTGAGGTTACCTTGGTTTGCTAGCTTTTCCACGCCTTGACATCATACGGTTGTATAATATAAATATTAAAATTCAATGAAATCCTAAGTAATGACGATTCTTAAGTTAAAAAATCCAACTAATATATATCAAATCGACGTAAAAAAAAACTAGGAGGGAGCGATGATACCTTGTTCTCGAAGATCTACGGATCAAATCAAAGTTTCCAAGGTCCAATATACCGATTCGTGAGGTAGGACGAAGTGGGGAGGAAAAAAACCCGAGAGGGAGGAGAAAGAAGAGGAAGAAGGCTAGGGCAACAAGGTTGGGCGCCGGATTAAAACACCACCTCGGCGCCAAGATCTTTGGCGCCAAGCTCGGCGCCAAGATCTTAGACGTCAAGCTTGGCGCCAAGATCCACGGCACCGAGCTGGCTGCCAGGTCAGCGTCCACGCCGCCAACGTGACCCCGACCTAGGCGTCAAACCCTCCGGCGCCGAGACATGTAACCTCGGCGCCACCAACGATGACGCCGAGTTAAGGGTCCAAATTTTGAAAGCATATCTCCAGGGGCATATTTGTGAATAACTTAAAAAAAATAGGCCAAAAAAAAATTCAGGCCTACAGCTCAACCCAACCAGCTTGTATATATACCGACATGTTTGTTTGCTGCTGGTTTCCCAATTCACAATCCGCCCCACGGGTGAGTGCCTTGCTGTTCTTCACTCTCTCGCTTTTTTTTTCTTCCTGTGGGCGCTCCCCTCCCCCCCTGCCTGCGTGGTGCCTGCCTCCCTCCCCAAAACCTCCCAGGCAGGTCACCTCGCTCACAGAGTCACACAGTCACTTCACAGAATCACAGTACAGCGGTAGACCCACCTGAGGAGAGTAGCAGGGGAGGAAGAAGAATAGGTTTCTTGCCTGATTCCTGCTTCTGTCTCCTTTCGGTTTCATGGATTCTCACTTGCTTTAATTTCGAGACTACCTGTTTCTCCCATAATCGGCCCTACATGTCCTTGCATTTCTTGATTGGTTCGGTTTCTTTGGTTGTGATGATAGGAGGAAGAAGACGGGGTGGAGTCAAGAATCGGTACAAACCAATCGTGTTGTCTGCAGAATGGATTCAGCATTTGAGGCTGCTGTTGTTCTCGCACGTACATGATGCATCTAGACCTGAGCAATCTGTCGGTATGGTGTACTTTTGGATGGCTGCGAAATCATGGGCATTTCCCCCCAACAAAGTTCGCAATTTTGTGTATTTCTTTGATCGAGATCAGGTGGAGTGGCTGTGTCTCTTTTTTGGTGGGGTGGAGTGTGAATCATGCGTTTTTTCGACTTACCTTGGTTCCTGTGTTGTTCAGGAGTGCTGAATTTTGATTGATCGTAGGGAAATGATCAAACAATCAGCAATCCTCATTGATCAACACTCCAATTGTTACTGTTACTGAGTTCAGAACTCTGGTAGCAGTCAATGCCACATTGTTACATCGTGATTTGCAAAATGCTACTGATTCATAAATAAAATCAACCCAACATTTCTATGCACAGCTTCAAGCTGGTTCAAGCAAAAGTGCATTTTTCATGTTTTGCCTGTACACTGCAGCGTGCTCATATTTGTTTCAGCACTAAGAGCATGCTTATAAGTGCAGGATTTCAGAGTGAAGATATTTGATTGCATTTCATTAATAACATGTCATTCTAAGTGTTGTGGTAAAATTCTTCTGACCTGGTTATGGCGCGAAAAATTTGAATGATCGTATGGGAACATTATATCGGAAAAGAAACGGGTATGCGTTACTAGTAGCTTGGCCCAACTGCTGATACCATGATCAAAATGTGCTTTCCCAATTTTTCCAGTGCACGTTGCCACATAATGTCTAATTTTCGATATACGACAATTCCTCGTTTTCCGGTTTGATAACATAATTGTCTCTCTTTTTTTTGCTGGATTTATGCGTTACTAGTACCTTTGTCCATAACACCATTTTCATGATCAAAACGTGCTTTCCGAATTTTGCCATTGCGCTTTGCCACAAAATGTCCATTTTCAGATATGTTTTCTGTTTGGTAATTTAATTGCCTTTTTTGCCAGATTTATGCGTTACTAGTAGAGCCATCCGTACTGCTGATGCCATGATCAAAATGTGCTTTCCTAATTTTGCCACTTGAAGGCAACAAAAAAATAATGCATATCCTTTCTATTTTCCCCATCCTATAATAGGGCTACTTTGACCAATCCATGGTTTCATTGTCAATATATTATATATCACTAGTAATATAACTTTAACTATTGATCAATCAATCCATGCATACATGTTTGCGTATATTTATTCACTATCTGAATTATTTTGTAGTTCACTGGCTGGCATAACCAGCAATCTGTACATTCATGTTCTTCCTTATGAATTTAAATATAAGCTCGCACAAATTTAATGTAACTCTTTAGGTTTCATATATCTGCAGATCTCATCACCACAGCTACAAAGATTACTGCCCTACTCTGAAGGAGGATATCCAATACTAGATGTTAGGACTTCTTGCAGCAGCTCTAGGAGCTGCTGCAGGAGGCTTTGCACTACTAGTTATTGTCGTCGTCGTCGTAATAGTGCTTTGCCTACGGCATCGCAAAAGAACTTCAGACTCTTCAGAAAGTAGTTCATCAGGTCAAGCTCTACCAGGTACGGATTAAGTTACTTCCAATAAAACTTTAAAACTTCAGATAATTCATCTAAAGATACATTTTCCTTTCTATTTTCATAAGTAATAACTTCGCCTTCCATCTATCAGAGTCGCAAGGAGCAAGATGTCTTAGTTTGGCGGAATTGAATTTTGCTACAAGGCACTTCAGCAATGCGAATCTTATTGGACAAGGAATGTTTGGAGAGGTATACAAGGGTTTGCTCCAGGATGGCACAATAGTAGCTGTTAAAAGACGGCATTCTCCTCCTAGCCAGGAATTCATTCAAGAGGTAGCATAATCTTACTTATCCAGGTTCTTCGAAAAAAAAATCTTACTTATCCACATGTTCAGTAATTGCTGGTCCTGAATTCATTGAATGTGCTGTGTTTTAACTTTATTTTTTCCGCATGACTTCCTGATATAATTTAAAATATATCTCAGCTTGCTCCACACCCTTCTTACATTGTTTTGAGCTCATGTGTCAGTGCTGTTTTCTTCTCAGGTTAATTACCTAGCATCTCTCTGTCACCGAAACCTTGTAAAACTTTTGGGGTACTGCCAGGAGGATGGCATGCAGATGCTTGTTTATGAGTATATCCACAATGGCAGCGTCTCAACACATTTACATGGTGATTTCCATTGTGTTTTTATTATCTTACTCTAATGTACAAGAGTGGCGTCATCGGTTCTAATTCTTCTGCTATCCTTTTGTAGGTAACAGCCATGCTGCAGGTTTAAGGTTAGAATTCAAGCAGAGACTTTCTATTGCTCATGGCACAGCTAAAGGTAAGTCTTCACATATGAATCAACTCTGAACTTTCCTTTATTGTTAGAATATAGCTCAGAAGTTCATAATCTCGTATCTGTTTAGACTCATTCTTCTGTAGCAATGATCTTGTGGCAACTACATCAGCAATCTTAAATGACGATCTTTTCTTGCTATTCAGGCCTGAGTCACCTGCACTCGCTGACACCCCCTGCGATCCATATGAACTTCAAAACTTCTAATGTACTTGTGGATGAGGATTTCGTACCAAAAGTTGCAGATACTGGGATTCCAGGCATGCTTGATCGACTTGGTGTTACAGGACTGTCTTCCAGAACATCTACTGATCCTTTCGTTGATCCTCGGTAACAATGGACACACATGTTTCTGATAATTCTTACATTCATTGATTACATCAGATAGATACAGTAGAATCATCTGCCTTCAATATGTTGTATGCACTAGTACCTATTCATTACTTGAGATTGATGGAACTTCCTGTTGCATGATCAGAATGAAAGAAGCCATGAACTTGAAATTTTCCATACAAAGCGATGTATACAGTTTTGGTGTTTTCCTTCTGGAGTTGGTTAGCGGACGGAAAGCTGTATCTGATCAAAGCATCATTCAATGGGTAAGTAATGGCAGCACTGCTTGATGTTTGTCCACCCTTTTTTGCAAATAGCATACCCATTTCTAGACATATCTTTTACTCATTTCATAGTCATCATATACACACAAAAGTACCAGCCTGCTCACTTTGCATCTATTGATATGCAGGTACAGAACTTCCAGGAATCAAGTGATATCTCCGTGATTGCAGACAACAGAATGGCCAGTGGCTTTACCTCAGAAAGCATGAAGGAACTGCTGCGCTTGACATCATGGTGTGTTAATCCAATGAGCGAGCAGCGTCCGTCGATGAGCTTGGTGGAGGCTGAAATACACCGGATTCGCGAGCAGGAGATCAGCCTCACAACAGTCATGACAGAAGGCACCCCAACTGTGACTCTAGGCAGTCAGCTCTTCAGAACATCAAGGTGAAACATCAGTGGGATGTGTAGTCTAGGAGAGAAGCTAGTTCTCTCATCAGGGCAGTAGATTAGCCTTGTTCTCTTTCAAAAAAAATCGTCTTCATAGCGAGCCAGCTGCATCCCAAGTGTACAAAAAAAAAGGACAGCTGCGAGGCTTACCCCTTTTTTTCCCCAGTTTTGTTACCCTGATGTTCCTTCCTAATTCTCCCTTTTCTGCACATATTTTTAGGGAAAATAATGACATTTAAATTTCTGAATAATAATAATAATAATAATGGGTGGGTGGTGGCAGACCAACGGATCTTAATGTTCAGTGCATCAGTCTTGCTTATGTTTTCTCAAACTATTGGAGAAACATGAAAAAAATCATGCAGAAAGTTGAAGCAACAGCATGCTCGCTGTTGTGCAGAACATGTTCTGTGAGAAGCCTGACATGCATGCATCATATGATATATGAGGATACAACAGATTTCAGGCTCTCCAGTTTTGCTTTACAGGGATGACTGCTGAGAACTTGAGTCTTGAGGCACGAAGATCCACACATTGTTGTTCCTTTATTTAGTTCATCAAGAGCATTTCCTAGCAGCTACGGTTTCTTTTCCCTGACAGACTTTTGCTAGAGATAACAATCTGAAGACAGAGTGGTATATATCTAGGTTGATTTGACGATGTCATCCCTGGGGTTAACGGTGAAGTCCCAGAGCTCGCCGTACTTCTCGTTGAAGTCCCAGATGTCCATGGAGTTGTAGTCGGCGATGAGCTTGTCGCGAGCCGACCTCTCCATCATGTAGATCTCCGGCTCGAAGTTATGCGGCTTGTCAGGCTTGCGCATCTCGAAGATGCAGAACACGACGATGAAGACAGCTGCCCCGATGTACAGGTACTCTCCCTGGTGCCAGAAGCAGACGCATCTCCAATCCAATCAGTATATGTACATGAAAGTAGGGTGACAAGGTTTTGCGCAAATGCTTGGAACGTATAGGAATTTCATAGGAAACAATCCATACCGGCACATTGAAAGTCATGCCAAGGATGATTGCAGGAGGAAATGCCCAGGAGATGAGTGCTGCAAGAGATTTCCATTGATGCAACAAATGAGCAAAGCAATGTTTCACTGAAGCAGAAAGATCTGAAGAGCCAGACAGTAGCCACCTTGAAAGCCCTGAGGAGGCTCAGCTTCTTGGTACCACTCGGAGACATCCTCCCAGAAGCCCTTCTTGTCTTCAGAAGAAAAGGGGTATTGCAATTGTGTTGCAGGTTTTGTTTCACCACATCACAAAACAATCAGTGGATTATTATTTCTCCTTCTTTTTGCATCGAAGGATACTATGAAAATGGAGTTTTTAGGATATAATAATACCTTGGGTTTCGAAATAGGTGTGGTGTCCATCGTACTTTCCGAACACGAAGTCCTCCTGCAACACAGTTTCTCTCAAGTGTTATCCATGAACGAACTAAACGTCATCCGTTCTTCAGAGTTCGTGGCACAACCTACGTCAAGATTCGCAGCTTTCCTGCGTGTTCTAAGCGCGGCCGGCAATGACAAAATTGAGAAGAAGAAGAAGAAGAAGAAGAAGAAGAAGAAGAAGCAACGGGGGACGGACCGGGGCGATGCCGTTGGTGCGATACACGTCGATGGCGTCCTCCTCCAGGTCCGGCTCGATCTCCGACAGCGGCCCAGGCCCGGCCCTCACCACCACCGCGCTGCCCCTTGTATGCCGGCGACCACCGTGCAGCAGCTGCTGCTGCTGTGGCCGCACCGCCGCCTTCACCCTCAGCTGGTGCGGCGCTCCGTCATGGCGGTGGCGAGCAGTGCTGGCCGCTGCAGACGGTGAGGCAGAGATGCCGGAGGTCAGGCTGCTGCTGCTCATTATCCGTTATCCCGCTGGTGCTGCGCTCGCTGCTGAGTGCTCCAACCCTGCTGCTGGCTTTCTGCTGCTGCTGCACACTATACGTTGCTTCAAAGAGACAAAAGCAACAATGGATAATGGTATTGGAGTTGGACACCTACCGTCCAGGATTTTTCGCTACCTTACCGTTCAAAAAAGAAGAAGGATTTTTCGCTACCTTTTCCTGTCCCTTTCTCATTCCTGGAAATAATCGGGTATCGAAGAAATAGTAGAACCAACCAACTCATTAAAAACTCAGTATGATGCGGCGATTAACCTACAGTTTGCTTACACCACAGCATCATTTTTTTAAAAAAAAAGTTTGCAGTAGCACTGCATATCATTTAATAAGAGAAAGCAAGTATAATACAGGGTTTTATTACACGCATCCTAACTTTTCAAGGAGCTGAAGAAACTAGCAACACGAGCAGAAGCAAAGAACAGATCAAGCTGCCAATGCCAGTGAACAGATCTCAGTGTAGGTTCACAACATTACTTCTGCAACATGCAAGCCCTTGTATGCGTTAACAGGCCAATTATTATCTTTTTTCTTTTACTGGTTCTTTAACATCCTACCACGTTTGTTATCAAAAGAATGCTACATGCTTACAACACCCTCGGACGTTCCACAGTACTAAAAAAATATTACAACCACATTTCTTATAGCTTTCACTGGAGAACTACTGTGGAGATGGCCAGAATGTATTTACCACCTGATATGCAAGGGTTCAGTGTTAGGACATTCTGGAGTACCATAAGCGTTACAGTGCCATCAGGCAAGAATTTACAATGCAGTTACATTATTCAAATAAGATTGCTAGCTTTGCCTGGCTTTCATAACCAGCTCTTCCGTTGTAGCGCCGATGATCTCATTGGCACGCTTTAGAGGGACACAGCAAATTCTTCCAATAGAATCCTGGATGTGAAACAGACTTCAGTATGTGGGGAAAAAAGAAGCAGAGAACAAGCAACTAACAACATGGTGGTCAGTGGAACTTTTGACCCTGTAAATGTCTCTCTGCAAAAATGTGATTCTGTGCACTGTATTTGTAAGAAAACGTCCCTATGCTTTGATCAAGTGGTAACAAGAGAGAAAAAGGTGAGAACTCACTCTTGTAATGATACCAAGCCTCTCCAGCTTTTGAACAGCATCCATCACCTCAAAATTGCATTGCAAGCCAAACTCTTCCTGGATTAACTCCTCACATTGCAAGTCAAGGTCCTAGAACATCGGGAGCACATGAATGATTAATTTCAATATTTCTTCCATAAGAACAAGTGCATGAATAAAATATAAGTCCATGAATAAAATATAGATTTTAAAAATGAAAGAACAACATATATACATCACTTGTAGCCTTTCCGTTTTCCATCAAAATATAGTAGGCAATTATGACCTCCTTGACCTGAACATATGAAATCACAAGGATGGAAATGAAGTTAGCTAAGCTTCGAATTCCAATGTCTGAACCAATGCTTATTTAATTTATTGATTCTCAAGAAAACACTGAGTGTAGAGAATAGACCTACCTCCTGTTGAATCACATCATCACAGAGATGCAGGAGTGTGCCTTTCCCACTATCTAGTTGTTTGTCATACATGGATTGAGTGATTAGGTTTTGGTAGGTTGCCATGTTCTGTTGAAACCTGCATTAGAAAACTATTTAACAGACCGAATATTTAACATACTGCCCGACACAACCATAAACACTAAGAAATAACATCCTAATGAAGAAAAGCTGTGCAGTTTGTGAAAGTGTTCTGGAGGATGTCTACAAGGTGACAAACAAAAGCTTCCACCTTTTTCTATTGTCTTCATAATAAACATTACTGATAAAAATCAAATCAACCAAGATACTCACGAGAAATAGATCTTAGCACAATATCCTGCCAGAGCAGAAAGGATGGCAATTACAACCCAGAAATCAGCTTTAGGCATTTCCAGTGAACTGATGAGTGTAACCTATGTGATGTGACACAAGTAAATCAGAAGGTGAAGTATCACAACAGAATCAAATGAAACTGGTTACAGTCCACTTACAAGTCCAATGACAACTGAAACAATAAATTGAACCCAGTCCATAGGTGTGAGGCTTGGGTTTTTCTTCTCAGGCTGCAACAATTACAGTGGTTCTTCAGCATAATTCCAGTTAAACGATAAATATGAATGCGAAAATTTTCTTCAGACAAGGCAACTCCCAATGCTAACCAGAACCAACTCCATATCTGCCATTGGAATATTTTTGAAGTGTTTTACATGAATTGCTCTATCATCCTGGCCCTTTGGACTTTTTCTCCTGAAGGAAAACATCACAAATCAGTGCATGCTGTAATTCAAACAAATCACACAACCATCCATGTCAGAACCAAGACTAGAAAATTTTGTCTGCAACCTAAAATCATTTTATAACCTTTACCTATACAAAACAATCACCTCTTCAAATGTAGGCTCTTGAATTGTGACCTTGCCGATTAAATTCTGAAAGCTGCAAAGAGGAAACTGTAAGACCATGAGAGAAAGTGATCGAGAGTGTGACAGCTTAATAACAGGTTGAAGAAGAGAGCAAACCTTAACTTCATTATTTCAAGTCGTATGCGTTCAACATAAAGCTCCTTGTCTTCTACTTCACTAGCTAAATCATCATTCTTCTTGGAATCTATCTTTGGCTTACTATTTTTCTTTCTTGAGAAGAGCTTTTGCAGTCTGAAGCGCAGTATGGAAAATAGTAAAATTTTGGGTGAGCAAGATCAAATGTACAGGGCATTAAATCTGCCGCAGATAGCATACCTCGTTTTCTCAAGGAACCCTCGCCATGCACGAGCTATGATCATGTCCACTTTCTCCATGAAGAAAAAGTTGCTAGTGCGGTCCAATCCAATGCCCCTACGAAATATAACATACTGGCACATGAAGGATTATGTCAGCTAAATAAGTAGTTGTTGATCAACAATATCTGAGGAATACTAAGCAACAACTCAATGACACTTGGAGAGAAGAGGTCTGGACTCTGAAGGAGCAACAGTAAACAAAAAATAATAATGATACAATACACAACGCATGATTGTCTATAAGAAGGATTAGCTGACAACTAAATTAGAGTAACCCCAATATGAATGTTTGCCTGCTTGGCTGGTCACACAAAACGAGAATTTGTTTTTTACGAAATAACACTAACCTGATGTAACTCAAGAACAAAGGAACAATCTACTGATGACTCTCCAAAAGAAAAGTTCATCTATGTCATGTATAAAAAATATCACCTTATCCGAGAAGTCAGGTAGGTTTTCATGACGGTGCTCCTTAAAATACTTCAACAGAAGCTTGTTATCTAACTGTTAAAGGACAAAAACAAATTGGAATTTCACACTGAAATTTAGTGAATTTTAGATAAGGACATATTTTGCTTTTGCAGGGAAGGGCATTCACCTTTGATTCATCAACTTTAATAGGAAGATTCAACAGATATTGTCCAGAATGAGCAAGTTCAACCTCATCGTCATTTACTATGTTAAAATTGCTCTTTTCCATCACCTGCACTTCAAGTAAGGACACTTTAAAGAGCACATTTACAGAATATGTTTTGATTCACAAAGAAACTGTTCCATGCCTCCTTCCTTCACTTGGAGGTTAAACCTATAAATAGTTATTTCTCCCAGAATAGGTCCTTTACCCGAAAGAAATAAGACAGGAAGTTCTGCTCAAGCATATCGACTTCCTCCGACGAGAAGTTTTGCTGCTGGAGTTTTTTAGCACCATGCACAGGATCGAAGAGAGCGAACAGTTCCTGCAAAAGTACCAGTCTGAATAGATCAAATATCATTGAAGCACTGAAGACTCTGGAGATGGTTGTAATAATGAATTCGAACCAACAAACGCAACATTTGTATGGATAATAAACTCTCCTCACCATCATATCATCAAACTGGAGATGGTACCAAGCCCTTATGGTGTACTCAACCCTCTTGCAGAGCTTTAAGAATTCTTCTTTGTCGGATTGATGTTCTTCAATAAAAAAAACACACAGCAGTATTAATTGAGTTGCACAGTATTGTATCCAAAGCAGCATCCTTGCTTCAGCTTGTTGTAAATAAGACAAGGCAATATTTAAAAGAGATATTTGATGGCCACATGATAAAGAGGGTGCACAGCTAAAGACATGTATTTCAGTCGCAATGGGTACACGGACTTGTCTATGCAGATTCCACTTTACATGAACCAGGTGAATAAATCAAAGCGAGATTCTAGCTTTTCCCTCAAAAGAGACAGGGATCTCGCAAGCCAGCAACTTTGCAGTAAATAGGATAATCACGATGCTATAGCCTCGCTTTATGAGCCCAACATCCCGTGGTCGACCAGCCAAGAAACGCAAGTTGCCGGCGGTGAAGACGAGAGACTGCCTAAACGGAGAGGCAACAGAGTAGGCAGGGAGAAAAAGAGATACCGATGAGGTAGGCGAGCTTCATGATGAGCTTGGGCTTCATGATGGGGATCACGGACTCGCGCTCCAGCCGCACCACTTCCTTCTTCTCCTTCCCCGCATCCGCCTCCGCCATTGCCTGCTCTTGCCTACGCAGTATGCACCAGCGTCCAGCTCCAGCACCGCCAGCCACCAGGCTGGATTCGTTTCTCCTTCAGGTCTCCCCTCCTTGAAGAAGCGGAGGAGGAAACGCAGTTGCGACTTGGGAACGGAAGATTGACGGGTGAGGATTGAGGAATGCAGCTGTGCAATTGATTAATTGCTCTGTCGTGGATGAACTGGGAAGGAAGTGGAAAGTGGAAACGCGCTACGGTTACAGATCCGCACAGTGTTCGTCTCTTCTCCGGCCGGCGGTAGAGAGCCAAAGTAAGATTTACGTGAGTACGCCTTCCCCGAAAGGAGGCGTATTATATAGTACATTCAAAACCTTGAACTGTTTTTTTTTTTGAGGGGAACAAACCTAGGCCTGTTGGGCTTGGGGGCACTTGGGGCTGTTGGGCTGAGGTCTTGGAAATCGACTGTGGGCCGGATCAAATGAAACATTTCTATGATGGGCCAAACACGAACTACTACAGCTCTTTAATTTTTTTTCTCGTTTATTTACATTTCGTAGTATTTGTATTTGCAACCTTCCTGTGTTGACCGCGGGTCCGCAGGTGTGGTGACTTAATAGAACCGATAAAATTTGTAACTGATTAAATTGTGTGGTTTTATTTGAGCCGTTTTTAGCTCAAAATTGGTGGCGAGGCCGTCCTCAAAAACAGATAATTTTGATGTCAATTTTTCATCATTTTTATTTTCCCAATAAATCAGATGATCTAGTTAAGCTCTTTACATTATAAGATGCGTGTACTGATGCACATTACTTATCGTTACAAGAATAATTAGATGAAAAAAAATGTGCGCACATGGCTAGTAAAAAAATCTTGATTGATCCAAACATGCACAGAATTGAGTTGGTCTGGAACGAAGCCGTGCGGCATTTGTTGCCAGTTTGCCACGACAGTCGCAACACTGAAATTGTCAATTCTGTGCTTCGTTTCGTGGAGGCAACACAACCCACCAAGTCACCAACAGAAAGCCGGCCATAACTAATTGTAAAAAAAAAAAAATCTGAGCCAAAATGGAACAAAAAAATTTCCCACAAAGAGCAGCTGGACGTTTTGTCAGCGCAGTAGTACGCGTACTCCGTCAGGGACGCCGTGCTTCGCGGGGCAACGGCGAGCACGGTCAGGTCACGGTCACGCTCACGGTCACGCGTGCAGCATCGTATTCGTGTCCGTTATTATATGTGTAGTAGCTGAATTGAGTTGTTAAACGTGTGCCGTTCTTGACTTGAGCAGTGGTCCACCATATGGATCATCGGATCCCAATCCTGACCAAGTCACTGGACAAACTATGTAACAGCGAGGTGGTGGATTTGGACTGAATCTGAAAGCAACTTTAGAAGATGCAGGTGCGGCATCCAAGCATTCACAATCATTCGTTAGTCAATGAAATATTTAGCGTGGTGATTTTTCCGTCCCAAAAAAATATAAATTTTATTTTTAAGGTGTTTCTCGGATGAGTCAGTTTTGCTGTTTTCATACGTCCGCAAAAGACATAAAACGGCGCCCCTATTAAAAATGCAGTGTTGAATTTTCGGAACGTGTCGATGTGGCCTCCTCTTACCGTTTAGGTGTGGTTTGAAAATTATTTGGTCGCACCGTGTCGCTCAAACCTCAAATCAAAGAAAAAAATGTTCCCAAGAATCTAGAGAACTTAGCGCCAAACAATTCGGGCAAAAAGGACTTTCCAAGTAAAGGTGTGATAAAAAAGTGATCTATGTGATAAAAAAATTACCAGAGTGATTTATGGGATAGTTTTGTTTTCCTAATGATTTTGGGGAATATAATTTTTGTGTTCATGTGTTATTTCTGAGTGATTTATGGGATGGTTCTTTTTCCTAATGATCTTGGAGAATATTTTTTTTTGTGTCCGTGAGCCGGATTTTGGAATGAAAAAAAGTAAAAACATGATATGAGCACGGGGCTTAATGCATATGTACTTTTCAGGTTTGATCAAATATATATATATATATATATATATATATATATGTATAATAAGTATTATTCAATTAATAATGGAATATATTTTTATTTATAGTGTAATAAATATGGTAAAACTTATCGAAAAGCGAAATTAACAAAAAAATTACGGTGAGATGAGAGTAACTGATTGCGGATGCGGTGCTCCGCCGGTGAGGTCACCGTGGCGGCGCGGGATCCATCCTCCTCCCGTCGTCCTCGGCATCACCGTCGAACACGTTCAAACCCGCGACCCCTGCCCTTCAATCATGATTCCACCCATTCGATCGGCGTCGCAGATTCGCATTAATTAGGGGGTGTTTGGTTCTCTAGTCGCTCCTAAAATTTATGTCACATCGAATGTTTAGGTATTAATAAAGAACATTAAATATATATTAATTACGAAACCAATTACATAGATGGAGGCTAATTTGCGAGATGATTTTATAAGCCTAATTAATCTGTCATTAGCACATGTTTACCGTAGCATCACGTTGTCAAATCATGGACTAATTAGGCTTAAAAGATTCGTTTCTCGTAAATTAGTCGCAAGTTATGTAATTAATTTCATAATTAATTTATATTTAATATTCTATACATATGTCTAAACATTCGATGTGACAGGAATTTTAGAAGCTAGAAACCAATAATGCCCTTAGTTTGTTAAAGAGCAGTATAGTCACCACCCTCTCTCCTCTTTCGTCGCCATTAACGACCGCTTCCACTCCTCTGTCCGCTCCCTTCCTCAGGCAGCAGCCCGGCAGGCCGCCACCGCGTGAGTTCGCGGGGGCTACAAATCCCGCCGCGCCCCGCCGCCCCGGCATCTCATCTACATCCACCGCCACAGCCGAGGAAAAGGAAAAGAGAGCGGGGAACCGGGGAAGGAGTGACCATGGTGAGGCTCCCGTACGTGACCGCGCTCACCACGCTCTTCAGCTACGGCCTCCTCTTCGCCTTCGGCCAGCTCCGCGACTTCTTCCGTAGGATCCTCGACGCCCGCAAGCCCAGCAACCTCAAGGTGCGCTGCCCGCTGCCTGCCTGTCTTTGCCCTGCGCCTCCTCGCCCCGGATTCGTCACGCTCGCTGCCCCGTCTCACGCCGGTTGCCTCCTTGATGTTGCTTTCTCCGCAGGGCTACGCGCCGATCTGCTTGGGCCTCGAGGATTTCTACACGCGCCGCCTCTATCTCCGCATCCAGGTGAGGCGATTGCCAACGTTTCAAGAGCACAGTTTCCTGATGCGTTCCTTCGTAATTATTAGCAAGCAATAGAGACCCCAGTTACTTTGCCCCCGGCCCTGATGTTAGATGATACCATAACGAAACTTAGTTTCAAATATTATTACCATATAAAACCGTTGCAACTGAAAACTGTCGAGATTGGTCTCTTGCTATTGAGCTGGAATTTTCATCAATGAGAAAAAAAATAAAGTGTCAAGAAAGGAAAGCTTTTGATTTTCAAGTGACTTCCACAGGAACTGAAAAGATACACTTGCAGCGTGCTATTCCAGTATTAACAGGTTACAGAGTTCTGTTATTATGAAATCTTTAATCAGATTAAGCATGTATGAACCATGTATATAAACCTAAAGATTCTGATGCCTGGTATGTGAGAGGTTACAGTTTCACCATTTACCTACTGATGCTATATCTATTTAGGTTTCCTTGTTGATTTATAATCTCAATTGTCATGGCAGGACTGCTTTGGCCGGCCGATTGCCAGTGCGCCAGATGCTTGGTTCGATGTGGTTGAGCGCTACTCAAATGACTGCAACAAGACACTCCAGTGCGTTACTCTTACATTCCCACTTATAGCCATTTAGCAATTGTCTCAGCATGGATGTCGACATCTAACCTGGTGCATCTTTGATGCAGTCGTACCACGGCAACAACCAAATGCCTTAACTTGGGTTCCTATAACTACCTTGGTTTTGCTGCGGCTGATGAGTACTGCACCCCTCGTGTTATTGAGTCACTGAAGAAGTATTCGGCTAGCACGTGCAGTGTTCGAGTTGACGGAGGTTGGTGCTTATGTTTATCAAATTATTGTCACATTTTGCCTAGGTTGAGTGGTTTCAGTAATATATCAAAAATTGTTAGACTGATTGAGTTTTTTTATATTAGGCAATACTAAGCTGCACACAGAGCTCGAAGAGCTTGTTGCAAGATTTGTTGGTAAGCCTGCAGCTATTCTTTTTGGCATGGGCTATGTGACAAACTCTGCTATCATTCCTGCTTTGGTTGGGAAGGTATGTTGTGAAGATATATATGCTCAAAATGTCTGTTTTGTTCTTTTCATGAGCTCTGCAGCTAAGGCTACTGTAATAATTGCAGGGAGGCTTGATTATTAGTGATTCACTGAATCATAATTCTATAGTCAATGGAGCTAGAGGTTCAGGGGCCACTGTTCGGGTTTTTCAACATAACAGTAAGTGACTAACAATTGCATTGCAAGTACTGAGGTCAATGGAGCACTGTAAAGTTTAATGCCTTTCCTTCAATTCTTCCAGATCCTGCTCACTTGGAAGAGGTATTGAGAGAGCAGATTGCAGGAGGCCAGCCTCGTACACACAGGCCATGGAAGAAGATCATTGTGATTGTTGAGGGAATTTATAGCATGGAGGGGGAGCTATGCAAACTCCCTGGGGTTATTTCTGTCTGCAAGAAATACAAGGTTCGAGATTTTTTTGTGATGACTTGTGCTTTGTATTAGGATCACTGTGCATCTTAGTAATGGCAACAATTATTGTCCTGCTTATGGGATGTGGGCTGACATGTCATTACTGGCATAGATATCATTGCAGCTTTCACTAGTGATTTAAACTACTAGTGTCGTATTGGGTCGACTAATATACTTCACATATGAACAGGCCTACACATATTTAGACGAAGCACACAGTATTGGAGCTATTGGAAAAACAGGGAGAGGTGTATGTGAGCTACTGGGAGTGGATCCAGCTGATGTTGACATTATGATGGGTACATTTACAAAATCATTTGGATCATGCGGAGGTTACATTGCAGCATCAAATGTAAGTGTATAGTCACTTAGCTGTTCTTGACTGAATAAATTTTGAAGTTGACAAATCTGACCCACCAAATGTTCATTTTCTTCAGGAGATTATTCAACATCTAAAGCTTACATGCCCAGCCCATATTTATGCAACATCCATGTCACCTCCAGCAGTCCAGCAGGTCATTTCAGCTATAAAGGTCATCCTTGGTGAAGATGGAACTAACAGAGGTACAACATAAAGAATTGAAGTTCTTACATCTTGCCAGTTTCTTATATCTCCTGTCTTATTGAAAGTCTTAATGTAACAATTGTTCTAATTAGGGGCCAAGAAGCTCTCTCAAATTCGAGAGAACAGCAATTTCTTCCGCTTGGAGCTTCAGAAAATGGGTTTTGAGGTTCTTGGAGATAATGACTCGCCCGTCATGCCTATCATGCTTTACAATCCTGCTAAAATTCCTGCATTCTCAAGGGAGTGCCTGAGGCAAAATGTGAGTTCTCATACACACAATCTGCTATGCGCCTAGCATACAGTGCTCACATTTCTTAGTGAGAGTTTGTCTCAAAATAGTTGCTCATTTTGTTAGTTTACTAATATGATCTATTCCACAGGTTGCTGTTGTTACTGTTGCATTTCCTGCCACACCACTTCTACTTGCAAGGGCTAGGATATGTATCTCAGCTTCCCACTCCAGGGAAGATCTCATAAAAGGATTGGAGGTAAAGCACACACATTCTCTTATCTGTGTTACTAACTATGTGGCTTGGTGCAACATACTCCACTGCTGTACCGATTGCTATGCAGGTTATAGAACTAAATTTTGTACCAATTTTGCAGGTTATCAGCAAAGTTGGTGACCTTGTGGGTATCAAATACTTCCCGGTTGAGCAAGAAAAGACCACGGCTGTTGACAAACTGAAGAAGATTCAATGAACAATGGCAAGAACTCTGATGCTGTTGTGCTAGGTTGGCAGGGTCATCTTGGTGTGCATCATATGCCTCAGTTTGGACTTTCTGTGCACCTCTGGGCCCTTTTTTCTTGTCCTTTTGTTTCTGGAGAAATTTAGATTTTGTACAGTATGTATCATACACCATAGTTCAAAATATAACGGGCAGATAGACATTGTCATTGAATTCAGAAAAGCAATTTTCCCGGTTACCACTTTAAATGACTGAAACCATGTAGATATTTGCAGTATTATTATCTATCATTCTGGTTGTTTTGAATTGGACGTAGATGAGTCCAGTCTTTGTAACCATGTAACAAATCTGGAGTACAGAAATATAAAAGGCAGCAGAGTTGAGTCTGAATCTTTTGGTGAGCAGTGCTTAGTGTTGATTAATCTGACTGAGTGATCTTATCAGTCACCAGAGGCCCATAAGTTGCAGTTACTCAGTATGCTTTACTTCAACGACATGGAGACAGTGATAATTTTCATGGTGATTAAGGAAGTTAACCTTTTGTCGGTAACTAGTACCAGGCCTTTGGGCCCTTGACTGAATGTGGATGTGAAGAAGCCGATATGTTAAGAGGAGGATAGAGTGGGCCAGACCAGTCGCTGAAATGTTACTATCATCAGGAGGCAGGGTACAGAAGTTGCTGTGACATTGTGCTAGGAGTGCACAAGCATGAGATTCAATTGAACCGGAGCACACGGCCTATCTGGTTTAATATGCTTCTGTTTGTCTTGTTATGCCTTGGTTGGTAGTATTATGATCAGAAAAAAGAGATGTGGTGTGTGTGAATGTGAAGCTGGGGCATGACTAGAGGCTGGAGCATGAGAGAGGCAGCTGTGGTCATGCCTGTTATGATGCCAAATGCCTGAGGCAGTGTACTGCTCCCTGCTTTGCATGGCACAAAAGGGCCTCGTTATCTCTCTGTCTAGTCAAACAGGAGCCTGCAAGAGTACTGGTATTATATAAAATATGCAGGTGGATGGATTCAGGCATTCAGCACTTTGCCTTGACGGGGATGAGTGAGATGTCATGTGTGGTTCTTTTTATAAAGGAAAGCTTGCTGTGTGGATTCTCTCTTGGGTCCATCAGCCAGGGATTCAGACTACATGTGCTGTTATGTCCTGTACTATATATAGGCAATGGAAAAAGACTCAATCCACCTCCAGGAACAGCACTGTAGCTGAAGAACAGTGGCGAGTGTTATGATCTTTCATGTGAAGTAGCAGACAGCTCCTACATTCTTTGTGGTGCATGCTAATGCAGAGGGAAAGAATCAAGAGCTGCAACAGATTGAACTGAAATAGGGGTATCCTTGTTGTTCAGGTACATGGAATAACTGTTAGCCCACAGGATCACCGGCTCCGGTGAGCCGACCACTCACTAGTCTTACCGACCACGACAAACGTTGTCCGACCAAACACTATGGCTAGAGGTAGAAGAAGTGAGAGAGAACAGAGCATACACATACAGCAGAGAGACCAGTGTTGACCGGAGCTCTGTATAGGAGATGACAAATCTAAACTCGCTCTTTACTCAGTTGCAGTAGCAAACTATATATACAACTCTATCCATCTAGTCATAGTACAACTGTTATGCTGCTACAGTGACTAGATGAGACAGCAGGGCTGACTCTGGCGGCTGCCCCTGCTGTGGCTACAGTGCGGCAGGTGACCGTTAGGCGCCTGCCCCTACAGCGGCTACAGTACCACAGCAGGGAGCCTTTTCGACGCCGCCTTCCCCTGCCGTGTGTTCACACAAGAAAGCAGTAGATTATCTAACAATTCTTCTTCTAATCCTACTGCTAACCCTTGAACCCCCTCCATGCTGATCATCTCCTTCAGCTCCGTGAGTCGAAGATGGCCCAGCGGCTTGGTGAGGACGTCCGCGAGCTGCCGACCAGTTTTGACGAACTCGATGACGATCTATCCTCTATCGACACAGTCCCTGAAGAAGTGGAACTTCACGTCGATGTGCTTGCTCTGGTCGTGGAGAACTGGATTCTTCGCGAGGGCGATGGCGGGCTGGTTGTCCACCATTAGTGCTGGTGGGTGAGCTTCCACACCAGTCAGCTCGCCCAGCAACTGGCGCAGCCACACAACTTGGCATGCCGCTGTGGCCGCCGCTACGTATTCTGCCTCGCACGTAGATAACGCCACCACCTTCTGTTTCAGTGATAGCCAGGAAATTGGAGCCGACCCGAGGAAGACGAGCACGCCAGAGGTGCTCCACCGTCCGTCGATGTCCCCCGCCATGTCTGCGTCGCTGAACACAGTGAGCTGCAGCCTACTTCTACCGGTCTTGGGGAAGACGATCCCATGATCCACCGTCCCCTTGATGTAGCGCAGTAGCCGCTTCACTACAGCCCAGTGATCCTCTCTAGGATCCTCCATGAAACGACTGACGTAACCCATGGCGAACGCAATGTCCGACCTCGTGTGGACCAGGTAGCGCAGACCGCCGACGATGCTTTGGTAGAGTGTTGCATCTACGTTCGCTACGGTACTGGCCTTCGTCAGCTTTAGCCGCTTCTCCATCGGAGTCACGCATGGCTTGCACTCAGCCATGTCGCTCCGCTCCTACAGCTTCGAGGCGTACGCGCTCTGACCGAGCGTGAGTGCCTCCTTCTCCTGTCTCACCTCGATGCCGAAGTAGTAGGAGAGCGCCCCGAGATCGCTCATTCAAAAATGAGCCATCATCTCACGCTTGAAGCTGTTGATGTCCCCCGCACGCGCACCGGTGATGATCAAGTCGTCCACATACACACCACCGACGAAGCTCCTCCTTCCTCCATCGCCGCGTGTAGAGCACGTGCTCGGTTGCGCACCTCGTGAACCCAAGCTCACCTAGCATGGCGTCAAGCTTGGCGTTCCACGCTCGTGGGGCTGGCCGCAGCCCATAGAGCGCCTTGCGCAGTTGGAGCACCCTGTGCTCTACTCCCTTGACGGCGAAACCCGAAGGTTGTTTGACGAAGACCATCTCCGCCAGCTCACCGTTGAGGAAGGCCGATTTTACGTCCAGATGATGGACGCGTTAGTCTTTCGCTGCTGCCAAGGCTAGTAGCAAACAGATAGACTCCATGCGCGCTACTGGCGCAAAGACTTCCTCGAAGTCGATGCCCTCACGCTTGATAATGGCGCCGTGCTCGTCCCGCTTGACCTTGTACACCCACTTCAGACTGATCGGACGGTATCTTGGAGGTGGATCGACGAGCTGTCAAGTCTCATTTTCCTCGATCGCCTTCATCTCCTCCAGCATCGCCCGTCGCCAGTGTGTATCACGCTCGGCCAGCCCGAACGTGGGTGGTTTCTCAGCACTGACGAGCAGCAGCTCTAGGTCATTGAGCAGCCTACCCGCCAGGCCTGAGGGCGTTGTGCCGCCGATGATGTCGTCCAGCCTGTGGAACTACACCTCCTCACCGATCGTGGAAGGCATCCACGAACTCAGTGATGTCACTTGGAGGTGAGGCGAACTCGATCAGTGTTGATGGAGTTTTCTGTTCCGTCGGAGTGATCAGCACAGCACCTGGAGTGCTCGGCACCCCGGATGTAGTGCTCGGCACTACTCCTGGACCACTCGTCATCACTCCTGGAGTGGTCTGCACCCTTCTAGGAGTGCTCGGTACCCGTTTTGCAGTGGTCGGCACCACTGCAAGACCCCTCGGCTCCGCTACGGGAGTGTTCGGCCCCCGTCCTGGAGTGGTTGCCACCACTACAGGACCTCTTGGCTCCACTCCTGGAGTGCTCGGCACCCCTCCTGGAGTGCTTAGCACCTCCCCAGGAGTGCTCGGCTCTATTACTGGAGTGCTCGGCACCCCTCTCGGAGTGCTCAACACCTCTTCCCCAGCGTCTCCACCACCGTGGATGACCAAGTGCTCGATGATGAAGGTGCTGGTGAAGCTGCCAGCTTCCCGCAAGCTTGAACTGTTCTAGTCCTAGGCCGCCTTCTCATCAAACACAACGTCGCACGAGACAAGCACCTTGTCGGGTTCATAAACTCGGGGTCCCTCATGGACCGGCTTTCCAACAAAGACTTGGCCCAACAGACAACGTTACGAGCAACGCGCAACTCATGGGCCACCCAAAATACCTAGACGACAGGCCAAAAGGACAACCCAATCTCCGACCGGAAGGCCTGGCCAAGGAGGAACGGCGCCCGCTTTCGACTCTAGCCTACCTCTCCGACCGGAGCGCTCGCTTCGGTCTCCAGCCCACCTCCGGACGGCCTCTCCGACCAGAAGGCCTGGCCCAACACCACTTCTAACTCCAACCCGCTTCTCCGACTATGGATGCGCCGAACCCCTGCTTACAGCTCCTCTCCAGTTGACGCAATCAGAGCCAACTAGGACCAACCGACCGGGGACGCCCGCTCGGTAGGGACTAGGAAACAGACGGAGAAAGTAAGCCAGGGCACTCAAAGTCAACCGCAATACCGAGGACCATACCCTGTACACCTACAGGACGGTACCCTGAGACCTCCCTGGCATGACAGAATGCAAGCAGTGTTGTAGGCGCCGACATTTTCCCCTACAGTGTTGTAGGCGCCATCAACTCCCATACCAGACAAACACGGTAAGGCTCCCACACGTGCCTCTAGGCGTCAACAGTATTGTGGGCGCCGACATTTACCATACTAGGTGAACATGGTAAAACCCCTTACATGCCTCTGGATATCAACAGTGTGGCAGGCACCGACGGCTGCCATACCTAAAGAAGAAGACGTAACCTCCCACATGCACCTAACATTAAACAATATTGTGGGCGCCTACCATCATCTTGTACCCGCCGGCATGGGAAGCAAGACTTAGCAGCATACGTACTCTCTCCCTCTCACTTGTAAGGCCATCCCCTTCATCTATAAAAGGGGATGCGCTCTCTCCGACATAGCTAAGTTGATTCAGATCGATCAAGTTCACTAGTACACAACAACAGAACCACCAGGTTCAAACCTCGAGCACACGCTCAAACACATAGCACATA